GCATCAGTGAGTACCTGACTTCATCCTGACTCCTACAGTTTTCATCACTTGGCACTTTTAACCTTTTTGAGCAGACACTTGGGCTCCTGGGCTGTTTGTTGGTTCAGCAACTGGGATTCTGCAACCCACCCTGGAGCCAGCCCCAGCACTGTGGAAGAGGCTGTTGGTTCTTCTCTTTCCTGGAAGCGATGCCCGTTGACAAGGTGCTCCGTCTTCCTCTCATCTCCCACTTGAGCAGTCTGAGGGCTCGTTAGGAAATGGACCTAATTATGTTTGATGGATGGGAACTGGGGGCTATTACTCATCTCTGTGCAGCAGACAGACCATGAAGGATACTTTACAGAAGAATTCAACTGCAAATGCTGCAACTACACAGCATGTTCCCGGCCTGACTCCACAGACCCAGAACCTCTACCGTTCCCAAGGCTTCAAATCCTGAGCAAAAGGCCCCGGAGTTGGGAGGGCAAATATCAAATTAGTGTCCTGACATCCAAAATGAGAGCAGGACCTTGCTGTGGCAGGAGCTGCAGGGCCACAGAGTAAGACATTGTTGGAGACAACCTAGGCTCTGGAGCAGGAGAAAATTAAACAAACACTGGAGCCAAAAGAACACAGAGGCTGCAGCACAGAGGAGGAAAACCAGGTCTTTGAAAGGATGCCCAATTCTTATTCCACTATGAATACTCAAAAAGCCTCTACAGGTTCTTCATGCCTGATGGAGCATCTCACACCTGCGTTCCCCCCTCAGTACAACTGCCTGCAATGCTGCCCTGTGACCAAGGCTGGGCACTGTTGGGGCTAATAATCCTTGTCTGGCAGCAGGTTTCTTTTCATTCTGAACCAGTCCAGCCCACCATGCAGGCTCCAAACGCTTAATGCTGTACTGGAGCCGTTGGCAGTGGCCTCAGGGCATAAATAGGAGGTTTAAATGGGAACTGTGGCAGAACAAGAAGTTCACGGGCCAGGGTGGGTTTTGAACCCATTTGTAGTCCTCCCTGGACCAGTCCTTTCTTTAAAGTGGTTCATTGGCTGAAAAATCTTTGGGTACACAAAGATGACATCCAGTAGATGACAGGAAACCACAAAACTGAGTCCAAAATTCTAAGTCCACAAGTGTTAAGTATTTTTCCCCCTCAAAGAAAGAAGAGGATTTCTTAATTAGTGTCCTTTTCTTTGTTCTCTGTCCCACCTTCTCTGATGGTGGAAGAGAATATCCCACCCAGGAGGATATTCAAACATCCAAGCCCTTGCTTTAGCAATTTAGTCTTTGCAAGTGGGCACGAAGGCTGCAAAATAGTGGAAGAACGCAACAGAGAAATCCCAAAAGACAACAGAATAAACCCCAGGCCTCTCAATTCCCCATCAGTATTCAAGCTGAAACCAAAGAACCTATCTAAGCTCTTTGTGCATGTGTCCACCTCAACAACTCAGACATCACCTAGCAGGAGAAAGTAGGGCTTTTTCTATGACAGCAGAGAAAGGCACAAGAGAATATGCTAGGATAATTTAATTTCAGTTCTGTCGGCTGCAGGCAGATTAGCTCAGACCCCAGAACACAACATGCTCAAGCAACACACGCGAAGGAAATATTCCTGTCCTGGGAAAGGGGGACAAAAATAAGTAGGATCAGCCAGATCAGTTCCTCCAACTGGTTTTCCGCAATCACACAAATAGTTGCGTCAGTGCAAAGGAGAGAACAGTACAGAGCAGTGCAGGCAGCTCACAGGAAAATACGTTCAAGGGAAGTGCTGCTTAACCAGACTAGAGAGGAGGGAGGGCGTGCGAAGCATTCCTTACCCAGACTGCAGTCGGGAAAATCACCTGCTTTAGCTCTCCCACACTAGGTCATCTGGGAGCAAGACCCCGTGGGCAAACAAGGAGACCTGAGCTCCTCCCTGCCAAATGTGCTTCTGTCTCACCCTTTGCCTTGCAGCAGATGCCACAACTCCTGCTAAACGGCATCCCACTTAACCATCCATCAGCACTTATCAGGACTTATCGCATCTTAATCCACTGTCATCCCATCCTTCACAGGGAAAAGGGGATGAAGCTGCAGTAAAGTCTGCAGAATGAGATAAAGTCGCCTTCTGCAACCCATCCCTGCGGCAAGGCTGCACACCCAGGGTGGCCCGAGAAGGCTGAAACACACAACAAAACTGCTTGATGCAGCCGGACGGTGATGCCCATTCCAGCCAGGACCTGTCAGGGCACCCTGCCCTGAGCCACAGCACCCTCAGCACCCACTCCTCCTGGGCTCTCACAGGCTCATAACCCCCTCTCGTGGCAAACACACAGCCCGCTGCTCCCTGACCCCACACAGGAAAGATTTTTCCAGCACTGGATCCCGTTCCAGATTTCCAGAGCCCTTTAGAGGCTCTGCCGATGAAGCACATGAATATTGATGATTTGCAGAGATGCAGCAGAGAAAGCAGCTGCAGGGAGACGAACTCTCCGGAGCCACGTTCAGCGAACACTGCCTGGTGCGGAACACCTCCCGGGGCAGGAGAAAGGAGGGGGAAAACACAGAGCTTTTGTGGGGAGAAACGGATTGAGCTTTTCAATAGCACTTAGAGAATCATGATTCTACCTTTAACCAAGAAAGTGTACCCCGTTTCTTAATGTAAAGCTTTGGAAAAATCTTCACCTGTTCTTAAAACTGAATGACTCTGTGGAATAGCAGTTTTACAGCTGGACAGACTCGCGTTGCTTGAGCGCTTGCGCTAGCAATCCTGCCTCGTAGGTCAAAACTGGCACGAACAGGCTCTGGCTACCTATCCCTGACTCACTTTCGGTTAGCTTTCAGGGATTTATTTAAAGCAAGGTTATATTACTAAGAATTTAACCTTGCTTTAAATAAATCCATAGAGCCATTTGCACATTTAACGTGGAACCTGTCCTCCACTGCTTTGCTGCAGGGGCAGTACTGGGAGTGGGAGAAACCCTTATGGACTGATGTCCTATAGATCCTAAATCTCTCCTCACACATAAATAATCACAGCTCCTTCCCACGCCTGTTGTAGCCCTTGCGCTGCAGCAATGCCGCATCTCACACATGCGTACACCCTTCCAACATACATACTCCCCCCAGGTATCCCCTGCGGTGCCCCTCATCACCCTATATCTGCTCCCCACCATACCATGCAGGAACTGCAGTACGCTGCAGCTGGCTTTGGAGCCATATGTGCCAACTGAGCTCCCGCTCTGCCAGCTGGCCAACTGCCCGACACCCCTTACAGGGGGCACAAATTCGGGTACTAAACTAAATCAGCCACCCCTATGAAACTTGCAGGAATTCAGTGCTTTTGAGACATCTCCTCTCTGCCAAACGCTGCTGAAATTAGCCAAGGGATTCAACTGTCATTAGCAGGGGGAGGGAGCACGCATACCGATACACGCAGATGCAATCTCGTGTCAGTATGAAGCCAGCCTAGGAAGCAAGTGTATTAGTCCCTGCTGAGAAGGGATACGGGGGTAGAGAGGGAGAAACGAATGGGCAGGAAGTTTTCCAGTTCAGGAAGGGGAGTGTCAAGGCTCATTGCAAACATTGCAACCTCTTCGCTTCCCTACCAGTACAGTGAGTTCTGGTAGCACAGCTCACGTTCAGGCTCCAAGACCCCAGCCAAAGCCCATCTGCTTTCTTCTGGACTTTTCACATCACAGGGATTGCCAAGGTCTATTTGGAAAAAGCTAATGGCTGCTCTCAGTGCTGCTATTCCTTCACCCTCCAACAGCCTGAGCAGAGCTGCCAGCAGCTGTTCGAGTGCAGCAAAAAGCCAGAAGGGATGGTTTGTCCTGTGTAAGCACCCTAAAGCTCACATATGATATTTATTAGGACTGCTAAACCAAAGTGGGTTCACTCACTCTCCCTTGCGCTGTGGGAAGGAAGAGGGAAGTGACATCTTTCCCTCTCAAAAGCAGTAAAATTTTCTGGGGACAATACTGCTTGTTCCCTTGCCTCTTTTCCCACTCATTTGCGTGGGACCATGTCCACAGCTGCCTCCTTCATGAAAGCGCTGAGCCAGCCGTTAAGTTACAGTGATACCGGCCAAGCGCGTGCTCGGCAGTTGATGCAAGCGACTGGTGCAGGAACGCTGCAGTCACTGCACTAATGTGATCCCCCCAAAGGCACCTCTGAGCACCCTGGAGTGGCACAGAAATTAAACTGTCTGGCTACAAATCCCTTACGACAAAGGGGACCCCCCCATCAGCTGGGCACAGTCCTTGCCACACACAGGAGCATCTCTCACTCAAGGCAGGCACGAGCAACTGCCTCCAAGGCTCATTTGTTAAGGCATATGTTGCATCTTCCAGAACAAAGGCAGGATGAAAAACTGGCACACCATCATACCAAGAGACAGGGGAAAACTGGGGATGGTTCTAATTTTGCGAAACCTCATCAACTGCTGCAGTATATGCTGCTCCAAGTTTAGATGACATTGCACGAGTCCTCTCTACCTTCTAGAGAGAAGGAGGAATTAAAAAATACATCTACTCTGGTCTGCAAAAAATTAGACGCTAGGAAGGGCTTTGGATAAAACTAGCACTGAGATTTTATTTTTCCAAAACTAAATGAAATTACAGGGTTTTTTTTCTTGTAAATTCACCTTTCCAGCAGGATGCTGAAGAGGACTGAGTGAGTGAAGTGGCATGAGTGACCCACCCTGCTTATCTTTAGCAGTATCTGCTTGTCCCAAAGTTACAGGCTCAACAACCAACTCACACGTAGAAGGGATCAGGATAGAGGCAATTCAAAGCAGCCCCTTCATTCAGGTGCCTCAGGAAGAAAGGTGAACGAAAGGATGCTAAGAAACAACTAGCTTCAAAATTCAGCACTCTGAAAGACATTGTACTTTTCGATGGTGCTGCAGAGCCATTGTGCTGAGGCTGAGCACTGCACAAGCGTGAGGAGAGGGACGGGGCTCTGCCACCTCTCCACTAGGCCTGGAGCAACATCCATCCTTCAGCAGGGCAGTTCCCTGGGCCACTGCATGGAGTAAACCATGGTGGATGCAAGGTAAGGTCCAAAACCAACTAACAGAAGAATGCGCTTCAGCCTTCTAAGCCTCAGGACCCACTACTGAAAGCAGCCGTGTGTCAGTCACAGGCCATGCTCACGATTAACAAGCTAAACAAAGCCATCTGTGACCCTAAAAAAATCAACAGATGTTGTTCCTCTGACTCATGCAGGCAGAGCAGGCATGAGGACAAACAGGCAACAGCGAAGATCGCAGCTTGTTTGCCATTCCTTGGTTTGTGAGCTCCTCAGCTCATTTCCAGGACTGCTGCTGAGCTGCAAAAGCAACACACTCGCAGCAGCCAGGTTTGGGGGAGAAAAACATTGCTCACCTGGAATCCAACAAACATGTCGTGCCAGCGACCAGGAGGGACTTGGCATGGAGGATCAGCCCAGGTTATGTCAGAGGGTGCAACTGCTAGGATAGCATGGGATCAGCCTCCCGAAAAAGATCCTGCGCCATCACCGTGCGGCACCGCGGCTCCATCCACATGTAAGAGAGAGACACACAGATGAGCAAGAGTCTTATGGCGTGAGCACGCAAGAACACCCAACACGCACACGTGTGTTTCGACATACATCCACCGTGGGAAAGGGCAGAGCCAGCCCCAGTCTGCCCGGGGGAAGGCAGGCGGCTGCGGGAGTCACGGTACTGGGGTGCCAATGCAGATCCCAGCAGCAAACCTGAAAGGAAAGCGCCCAGGGGTGAATGGGAACACGCACTGCACTGGCAAGCAGGGCAGAGATCAAATCAATGACGGGAAAAGCCACCAAAATAGAAGTTTTGGAAGGTTCCAAAACTATTTGTGAGGTGGGGCCAAATTTGACTAATAGCTTCAGCCAAAATGGAGAAAATAATTAGAAAAACATTGAAACGTGTCATTTTTTAGTTCTTTTCTTATTATTTTTTTTTTTCTCTAAATGAAACATTTCACTTCGGAAATGATGAAACATTTTAGTCGCAGCAGGATCTTGGAGCCTTTGTCCCAGTGAAACAGGAATGTTTATTCTGTTTGTCACTTACTGACTGAGTTAAATGTCAGGAGGAAATCTCAGTGTTGCTTTTTCATGTAAAAATAAAAATCAAAAACGTACAAAAGATGTTATCTGGTGGTACAGGGCATTAGAAGAGGCCAGCTAAAGGCAAGTACCTTTCCTGTCCAGACCCTCAGCTCCCCTGAATTGCCAACAGAGGACCGAGCCGCTGGGGATTAGCCAGTACAGAGAAGTGACGGGGTGACCTCAGGTGACAGGGGAGGTTAGAAGAGAAGGGACGCTCTCAGGAGCCTCTCCCCCTACCAACCCAAGGAGCTGCCCCAAAATGGCCCTAGAAATGGCAGGGTCAAGGGCAGTGAAGGCTCAGAGGGACATCAAACACTGCTGTGAAAAGCCCCCCAGAGCTCCCGGAATGGGAGAACTGGGACCTTCCCCTGCTTCCGTGCCCAGGGGCGCTGGGGAAAGCCACATCCTGCCTCTTCCGTCACGCAGAGCAGCCTCTGCCAAGAAATCAGCCTCTCCTGTGACTGGTGCCTTGGCTTCATCTTATTTTAGGGTCTGATGAAAAGACTTGGGGTCTTCTCCAAGCTTTACTAATGAAGGGCTGAGTGCCACAGCCAAGAGACTTGGGATCCCACGCTGCTCCCTCGCAAGCCCAAACATCCTGCATGTTTCCTTCCCTCACTCCCTCCTCCACTAGAAATCCCTGCCCACACACCATGTGGATTTCGCAGATCCACGGCATCGCCACCATGGTTTACCACCGCAGTTTCAGGAACGATCGTTCCCACCATAGGTGGTACGATATCCACAACAGACCTCAACTCCAGTCCACTTCCAGTGCACTGACAGTTTATCCCAAAAACCACACAGACCTTGCCCAAATAATGACCTTTAACTACTCCATTCATGGGCCAAACGCTAAGTCAGCGCTCCGAGCAGCTCTTAAAAACTAGCCAAGAGGGAACTACGGCAAGGGATATTTTTCTAAACGCCATTACACGATTGCCTGCCCAAAGCCTGGCTCAGCCATTTACAAGCGTTGGAGGAGCACACCCTGTTTCCAAAGTGTCCCACCATAGGTATTGTAGGGGCAGACATGGCACGGTGGCTTTTGGGGTCTTGGCGTGGGGTATGGAGACCCCAGCATGCATCCACATGAACCGCCAGCTGCTGGGACGAAACCGAGACCTGGTGATTACAGCAGGGAGGGAATTGGGAGCTGGGGCATGAAACTAGAGAGGGGAAACATTTAAGCTTTAATCTTGGAAACAGCTTCCTGATAGTAGATTTATGAGCAATGGGAATAGTCTCCTTTGCAGAAGGCTGGAAACTCTGTTGCACCGGGCTTTGAAAACAAGACTGGATAAAAGAGTAGACAGTAGACAAGAGGAATGGATTTTGCTTTGACCAGAAGATGGATAGGGCCCCATCGTTCACTTCCAGCTCTAGCTACCCTGCCCATACATCAGTGGCAAATCTCACACCTGCTTTCTGTGGCATTTGCCTATTTACATGATTAACCAGCAAAGGTTGCCAGAACACTACTGCGCTGCTACGAAAGGCATCCAAACAAATGTGACCAGCCCAAATTTCTATCCCTGCTCTCACACCGCTGCAGCTGTGGAGGTGACCTCTTGGGGCTGCTACAGAACCTCATTTTTCAGCTAACGCCTGGGTGTAGTAGCCAGAACCAGGGGCTTGACACATCCGAGTTTTGTGCAGGAGCCCGTGGAAGGGGTATTTTCATTAATACATGTGTCTTGTTTAACTTGGACATTGAAGTAGCTGAACTTTATCTGACTTAGTTCTCCCTGCATATATATCACACTTTCCTGTAATCAACCTTTCCTTTTTTCCTGACTTGGCCTTTCCCAGTGTATTCTTGGGTATTGGTTTTCTTCAAAGCTGCTTTAGTGCTGCTGAAGGATGTTGAAGCGACAGCTCTGGAGATCCAAGCACTATACTTGCCCACGAAAGCCGTCCAGCTCAGGCAGCCGCAACACAGGCTTCGCAGCCCCTCGCTCCCCTGGCCCCGCTTCCAACCTCAGTGTGACCCGATTACAGCAAGGGGCGAAGGGCCAAGGCAGCCAACACGAGCAGCACCTCTCCACACCTCGCAGAGATTCCCTCGACTTCCTTCATATACATCCTCCAGCAATCACGGGTGAACATCAAGCTGCTCAGCTGTGTGTGGCCAAGCCCCCATCGCATCGGGCAGGAGCGGCTGTGTGGATGCACAACACACACACACTGTAGCTGGCTCCGATTCAGTGCCCAAGAGGCTGCGGCAGAGCTGTCGACCCCAGGGGCTTCACGCTCCGCTCTCAAACCCTTCGCCAGGGTCTGTTGGGAAGCTTGCCCGAGGCTCAGCCTCATAAAACCGCCCAGCCAGTGCCCTGAGAAGGGATTAAACGCGAAAGTCTGTGACCTCAGCTGAGTACAGCGAGGCAAAAGCACTCTGACTCCAGGCTTATTGCCCCACAAAAACATCAGTGAAATCATTTCATTAATCCCCAGGGCCTCGTTTCCTTCCTTCCTTCCCTCAGCCAAGCTGAAGCTTAAAATAGTATTTCACATTCCTCATATTTCACTCCAAAACTAATTAATACCCAATCAGCCAAAAGCTCTTCTCACATGAGCCTGGCTTGATCATGCAACCTGCCCACCCTTGGCAACAGCAAAAGCACTTTACAGGGCTCCCAGCTCCTCCCAAAAGACATTTCTGATGGAGCATCTGGAGAGAACTGCACTAAGGCAACAGAAAACAGGATAACAGTGAAATTAAAGCCCCACGTGCAATGTTACCTCTGTCCCACGTGCACACACAACTCTTACGTGCCCATAAACAAACTCACACCGTGCTAATTCCCTGACACCACGAGCATGGCTGCTCTTCACCAGCTTCTAGCAGCCCCTAAAGGCAAAAACGCAAGTTACCTTCTGCCTCCTCTTGTTGGTACCTGTACTATACTGCGGGGCTGAAACTGCAGCCTGCTTTCCTGCACTCATGGAAACAAAGAGGCAATTTTAATTCGGATAAAAGGGCCGGGCAAAACCCTCAGATTCAGCACAGGGCAGCAGATGGGAAAGAAGATCGAGTACAGGTCTTTCTTCACTTGGACTTCATGACTATTTCTCTCTTGGTAGCCCAGGCCAAGCATGAGTCAAATGACAGTGCAGATGATAGAGCATAACTGCAAAGGAAGGGATGCAAGTCTAAGCTGGAAAGGAAACCTCATCCAGGAGAGCTCCAAACACATCACCCCATGAGACATCAAGCCCTTTGCTACAAGATCTTTCTTGCTCGAGGCCCACGCACACCCAGCACAGGCTGAGAGGATCACAGACAAGGCGTTGGCCATTTCTGGTGTGCAGGGACTATGGACCAGGAGAGGCTGTAACGAGTGTCCCAAACACACGGGGAAGATGTGGCAGCTACAGAGAAGGGAGCAGAGGTCAGTGAGTGCCATCTCACACTGAACATCCCACACTTGACATGTCAGTTTGTTTTTCAGTCTGAACTTCCACCCACAGACCAAACACAAGGACAGACTTTGCACTCCAGCCAGTCTCATAAGCACCAGCTCTCGCTTGCTGCATTAGGACAGCCTTGTTAGTGCAATCATTAGGAAAGTGTGGCAGAACCTAAGATCGAGAGTTAGTTTTGTGTTGGCTACAGCCCATGTCAGAGGATAACCCCAGTCCCTGGAGACAAGGTGGGTCCTCCATCCATCCTGCAGCCTGTCCACAGGAAGGTGTGATGGCACCCAGCCTGCTGCGAGGAGCAAAGGTCAGTTCTTCCCATGGGCCACCAGTGGTAGAAACACTAAACCCTCTCATGCCTCTGCTGGATTGAGTTTGAAAATGTTTCCAAAGGGTAATACGGAAAATCCTGTTGCCAGAGCAGCCACAACAGAATTCTGCCCATGGGACAGCTTCAAAGCAGATTTACAGCTCTGTGCAACAGGAGATGGCTCATCCTCTCAGTTTAGGCTGAGCACCTAGCAACAGGCCTTTTACTGCTTAAAAAAAGCCCAAACGTATAAAAAAGCCCACACCAAGTGCCCTTCGTCCCTGCAGAGCTCCATCTTCTCCAGCTGACAGCTATGAAGAGGCAGAAGAGCCAGACCCTCTCCCCAAATGACAGAACTGCTCAGAAGCCATGAGACCAAATGCCCACAGGTGTTTTTTTTCCTGTCCCTCAAGCAGGACGAGCCCTGCTCCCCGGGGACAGGGGCCAGCATCTATCCCTGTGAGCCCCGCATCCCTCCCAGGTTGTGCCTCACCCAGGGGCAAGGGCCACACACTGCTTCCCCCCCCAAATCTGGGGCAGCCCCTCAACCGGGGCCCTGAGCTGGGGCACCCCCACGGCCATGCCCTTCCTGAGGGCCTCCCCCAGCAGACAGGCCCCGGTCCCCTCCAGACAAGCCCAGAGCGCTCAGAGCCTCTCACAGCCGGACAGGCACGGCTCTCAGCGGCGATACTGCCGCTCACACAGCCCGGCCCGGCGCCAACCCCGGCCCAGGCACAAAAATAACCCCCGCCACGCCCGCCGCCCACCGCACCCGCCGCTATG